AGAGAGAGAGAGAGAGAGAGAGAGAGAGAGAGAGAGGTCTAAATGTTCTAGATTACAAAGATAATAAAAATAAATCACAATATTCTATATATATATATTTGTACAAAGATGTGGACCTAATAGCGGGGGTGAGTCGTAACGAAGGCTCATACCTATCGCCCAAACCGGACAAACAGTGGTCAGAAGCCGTGTTCGACGAACTGCTCGCCAACTCTCAGAACCAGTTCCACGGACTGGATCTCCAGGCCGTCAAACACTACTACTTGGGTCGAGTGGCCAACCGGTCAGACCCGGCGGCCATTCGCACCGCGTTTTACGACTATTACGGCGACGTCTATATCACTTGTCCCACGTATTTGTTTGCCCAACAACTGGCCAAACAGTCGGCCCCCGCAAGGAGTGTGTATTTTTACGAGTTAACCTACCAGGGTGATCGTGTGCTTGGTGGTTGCGACCCGGTGACCATGGGCATTTGTCACGGCTCGGAGTTATCGTTTGTTTTTGGTATGGATTACATGTATTCCGACAAACCTTTGGATAAAAAGTTTAGCAAAGAAGTGATGGACTATTGGACCAGTTTTGCCAAAACAGGGTAATTGCTATTTATTAATAATCATGGTCCATTTTGCATAATTAATAATTATTGCTATATTGATCACTTTTTTTTATTATATCGTATTAGTGTTCCCACAACTGAGCAAAAGTGGCCAAAACTTAATGATAAGTCAATTATCAAAGACTTGAATCCATACGACTTTAGCAAAACACTTGTCCAACCATTTAAGGAGACGTGCGATCAGTTTTGGACTAAATATTTTGAATGAAATCAAATGTATTATAATTTATAATTTGATTAATTTGAAAGATTGTTTTATTCAATAAATTGCATTACATTTTATTATTTAACTGTCATTAGTTATAATTAATAAAAATATTTAAAGTTATTTTGCAAATGTATGAGATTTTAAATGTTGTGTTACTTCCCATTTCGTAACAAACCGTTGATTACAGTTATTATGAATACATTTAAAGTTTTTAATATTCAGATGTCTTTTCATATGTCTCTTTAAATCAAATGTATCCCCAAATCCTTTGTTACAACCATTAAAATGACAAATAAATGGTTTTTCTCCCGAATGTATGCGTTTGTGTCGAGTAAGAGTATCTTTTAATGCGAAACTTTTGCCACAATTTTCTTCATTACATTTGAATTCCCTTTCATTCAAATGAACACAACTTTTGTGTCGAAATAAATGCTGTTTTGATGTAAAACTTTTGTGGCATTCATTGAAATCACAAATAAATCTCAAATTTGAATGAATGTTATTTTTATGGCGAATTAAATCTGATTTTTGTTTATAACTTTTATTACAACTATTAAAATCACATTTAAATTGTTTTATTTTTGAATGAATTAATTGATGTCGAAATAAATCCCTTTTTATATTTGTCTTGTATTGACATTTAGGCCAAAAACAGTGGAAATAATCATCAGATTTAGTAATGATATGACAATTGTTTAGCATT